CTCATCCCCTCTGCATCAAGGCTGAGAAAGGCATCCCACCATAGGGAATAGTTTCCAAAAAGCCAGCTCATGCACCAGGGACAGATCCTGGTCCCACTGCTAGGGGCCCCACAAACAAACCAAGCTACACAAGTGCCACCCACCTGCAGAGGGCCTAGTCCAGCCCCATGTAGGCTCCCTCATTGTTGGCCTAGAGTCTATGAGCTCCCATAAGCTCAGGTCAGCTGTCTGTTTTGGTTTCCCATTCATGACTTTAAACCCCCTGGCTCAAACAATTCCTCCTCCATCTATTCAATGGGACTCTTGGAGATCGGCCCAATGCTTGGCTCTGGGTCTCTGCATCTGCTTCCATCAGTTACTGCATGAAGGTTCTATGATGACAATTAGGGTAGTCACCAATCTGATTACAAGAGAAGGCCAGTTCAGGCATTATCTCTACTATTGCTATGAGTCTTAGCTGGGATCATCCTTGTGAATTCCTTGGGTTTTTCCTGGCACCAGGTTTCTAACCCCATAATGACTGCCTCTATCAAGATATCTCTTTCGATGCTCTCCCTCTCTGTCCCTCCCCCAATTCAACCTTCAAGATCCTTCATGTTCCCAACCCCTATCCCCTCCTCTTTATCCACTCCCCAGACCCCCAGTTTACCCAGGAGATCTCATGTTTCTCCTTCCCAAGGTGACCCATGCATTTCTCTTAGGGTCCTCCTTGTTACCTAGTTTCTCTAGGGCTGTGGATTGTAGCCTGATATTAATCCATTTCTATTAATCTACATTCTGTCATGTACTGCACATCCTGCTTCTTCCATGTCTCCTGGCATCTCTACATACAAATTGCTGGCTAATCTGTGGCCAATTCCTATCAGCTAGTCACCACCCCCACCCCTGATTCAATGTATAACTCTATTGGGCAGTCTAAGGAGTGTCAGAGTGTGATAAAACTATCCCACAATAGACCTTGGGACTAAAGATTAGAAAAACAGTTGAATGCTTTAAGTGCTGCTTAATGGGCCATACTAGTAGGAACATGGGAGATAGGGACTGGGGCTGATAGGGTGTGGGGCTGGCTCAAGAGGTTTCAGAGGAAAAGAATTTTAGTAAGTTGCCTAGAGATTTATCTTGTGATATTTTGATGAAGAATGTGGCTGCTATTTGCCCTTATCTGGAGAGTCTGCTGGAAGCTAAAGTGAAGAGTTTTGGATTAATTCCATTGGCAGAGGAAATCTCAGAACAGCCTAGTGTAGACTCTGTTGTGTGGTTATTAGTGATAACTCTACTGAAGATTTATAATGAATAGGAGCATGCTGAGAAATTAAAAGCCCAAAATGTACAGATTGAGAAAAGGTGCACCAGGAAGTAGAATAGGGCTCAATCTTCTGTTCAAGGAGATAAATGGTTTAAGAAATGCAATAAAGTTATGACCACAAGGCAAGATCCCACCCATCTAAGTTTCCAATTTGTGAAAAGGAATTAAATGATTAGAGCCAGGTGTGGTATTGCACACCTTTAATACCAGCACTATGAAGGCAAAGACTGGCAGATCTCTTGAGTTTGAGGTCACCCTGGTCTACAGAGTAAGTTCAAGAATGGCCAACCTTAGGCAATAAAGAAAAACAGAAAGCTGGTGAAAATGTAATGAACTGAGGGGTTCATGTTCCAGCTCCAGCCAGCAGCAGAACTTTGCAGCTTCAGCCACATGATTCTGGAGTTAAAGATAGAAGAAAAGGGCTGGGGTTGGGGATTTAGCTCAGTGGTAGAGCGCTTGCCTAGCAAGCACAAGGCCCTGGGTTCGGTCCACAGCTCTGACAAAATAAAATAAAATAAAAATGAAAGAAGAAAAAGGCTATGGAATTTGTCTCTGTGACTAAGGAAAGCTGCTGAGGCCAGGCATGTGTCAGGGCTGTCTCTGAATGGAGACCTAGAGAGACCATTGTGTGAAGCTGTAACATTGAAGCCTGGATTGCCTTGGGGAACCCAATACATTGGAGACACCAGAGCCATGGGATACCTGCCATGGAGAGCTGCTAACAGGGAGTTTAACCAGCTCAAGAGAAAGAAGCGTGTTGGAGTCAACAAAACTGAAAGGACTTAGGGATCTGAAGAGCATTTTGACATCAGATATGGAGATGCAGAGTTTGGAATTTGCCCAGCTGGTTTTCAGTCTTGCTTTTGCCCAGTATTTCATTACTATGCTCCTTTCCCTATGTTTGGAAAAGTAATGTATATCCAGTGCCATTATATAAGTATATGATCTGTTTTTTATTTTTATTTTATAGGGAATTACAGTTAAAGAGACTGAATGAATCTCAGAAGAGACTTTGAACTTTAGAATTTTAAATATGTTTGAGACTGTTATAAACAATGGGGACTTTTGACAGTGGACTTAATATATTTTTGCATTATGATATGGCCACAAGCCTTTGAGGGCCAAGGAGTGTAATGTTGTAGATTGAAAGAAAATGGCTCTTAAAGGGAGTGCTGCTAATATGAGGTATGTTCTTGTTGAGGTAGGTTGGTCTTGTTGGAGGAAGTGCATCACTGTGGAGGCAGGCTTTGAGGTCTCATATATGCTCAAGCCACACTCAGTGAGTCAGTCCATCTTCTGTTGCCTTCTGATCAAGATGTAGCCGTCACCATATCTGTTTGCATGCCACCATGCTCCCTGCCATGATGATAATGGACTGAACCTCTGAAACTGTAAGCTGCCACACCAATTACATGTTTTCCTTTATAAGAGTTGCTGTGGTCATGATGTCTCCTCATAGCAATAGAAACCTTAACTAAGATAGTCATCTATCTTCTTGCCTATGACTGAATATAGGAAGCTTTTCACCTGATGATTATCTTATATTATCTTTCAAATACCTGCTTTGTATGAATATTAACATCTTTCTTGGTAACATAAAATGCTGTGTATAATTATCAAAGGGATTTTTTGTTTACTTTTATTTAAATTTTTTCATACAAAATACTTCTATCACTTTTCCCCTGCCCCATTCCTCCTAGATCCTCCCCAACCTCCCTACAGAACCAACTTCATGTTCTTTTTTGCTCTCTCAAAAAGATAAAATCAGGAAAAACAACAAGAAAAAATAAAATTAAAACAAATATACTAAAAGAGAGAAAAAACAATAAACCAAACAAAAACAACAAAACAAAATGAAAGGGCACAAAAAATGTATGGAGTCAGTTTTGTGTTGGCCAACTATTCTTAGACATAGCATATGCCGTGGAGAATGGTTGATGTCCCCAGTGAAACTCTATTGGAGAAAACTCATTTTCCCTTTCCTAGCAGGTATCAATTACAAAAAGCTTCTTTGTTAGGGATAGGATTTTGTGTCCACTTTCCCCTTTCAGTGGTAAGACTGCATTTGGAGTGAACCTGTGCAAGTCTTAGGCTTGCTGCCAGAGTCTCTGTGAATTCATGTGTATATCAGTCTTAATGTGACTGGATGGCACTGTCTTTGGAGTCATCCACAACCTCTGGCATGTACAGTATTTCTACCTCTCCTTCTGCATAGAACTCTGAGCCTTGAGGGGAGGGATTTGATGAAGAGATCCCATTTAGGACTGAGTGCTCCAAAGTCTCGCCCTCTCTAAATATTGCCCAGTTGTGGGTCTTTGTGCCATTTACCATCTCTTTCAATAAGAGGCTCCTGTAATGAGTGTTGAGTGATGTTCTGCTCTTTGAGTATTGAAATATGTCATTATAAGTCATTTAATTGCTATGTTCATTTAGAAGAATAGTAGTACTAAGTTTTCCCCTGGGCCCACAGCCTATCTGTTTATAGGTTCTCTGACACATTAGTAGTGTCAGGTATAGGTTACATCTTATGAAGTGGACCTTAAATCCATTCGAGAAGCAGATGACTACTCCCATAATATTTATAACCACTGTTATACCAGTATATCTTACACGCTGGTCTCTGTTGTTGGTCACAAATGTTTGTATCTGGGTGAAATTGAAGATTACTTTTCTCTTCTGGTCCTATGCAAAGTACCTGCCAGCACCATAATCACTAATCAGTAGGGGTAAATCTTCTAGCTGGAGACTAGCTGGATTTCTCCATATTCAAAGACATAAGCAAGTTTTATCTTCAACTATAGTGCCTTACCATCAGCATATAGAGAGTAACCAATAATTTTGTCAGTAGCCTGAGGTGCTTAAGAAATCTATGGGAGCCCTTTGAGCAACAACTCAACAAGACATAACACAGTCCTGGTGTTGAAGGTTTTACTTGGGGCATAAAATATCTAGTTGAGGCATTGTCTCCATTATATAGTAACGTCATTTAAATTTCTTTCATACACACACATATATGTGTGTGTGTGTGTGTGTGTGTGTGTGTGTGTGTGTGTGTGTGTGTGTGTGTGTGTGTATGTGTGTGTGTGTGTGTGTATTTGAGGAAGCTTCTACAATAGTACATATTTTCATATGGCATTTCAAATAGCCTTTTGTGTTAGTTGTTCCACCCCATATTCCATCCTTACCATACCTTGCCATTCATCCACTTAATACTATTATTCTACTTTCCCCTTTATCTCTTTATAACATTGTACTCTATTTCCCTTCTCTTGGAAGATCTCCTCCAGGCCCTAGTCCCTTAATAGCTACCTAACCTCTGTGGTTATACAGATTGAAACACATATATCTAAACTTTAATGTCTAACATCAACATATAAGAGGAAACTGAAATATTTGTCTTTTGGGGTCTGGGTTAACATATTCAGGATAATTATTGCTTTTAACTGCATATTTGATTATTTCAGTTTTCTTAACAGATGAATAATATTCCATTGTATTAATGTACCACATTTTCATTATCCAATTATCAATTGATGGACATCTAGGGCGTGTACATTTTCTGGCTATTCTGAATAGAGCAGCAATTAACATGGATGAACAACTATCTCTGTAGTGGGATGTAGAGTCATTTGGGTATATGCACAGGAATTCTATAGCTAGATTTTGTGATAGATATATTTGCAACTTTCTTTAGAATGGCCATACTGATTTCTATGGTGGCTGTACAAGTTTGCACTCCTACCAGCAATGAAGAATTATTCTCCTTGCATCATCACCAGCATGTGCTCTCATTGTGCTATTGACATTCCCCATTCAAACTGAAGTAAGTTGAAATCTCACAGTCATTTTATTTTGCATTCCCCTATTGTCCAGATATGTTTAACATGTTTTTTAGTGTTTCTCAACCATTTGTGTTTCATATTTTGACAACTCTGTTTAGTTCTTTACCCCATTTTAATTTGATAATTTTTTATTGATATTCACTTTTAGTTCCTTATACATTCTAGATATTAAACCTCTAGCAAATGTATAATTAGTAAAGATTTTTCCCATTCTGAAGGCTTCAACTTTACTCAAATGATAGTATGTGGTGATATTTTATTTGTGCTGAAATGTGATATTTTATTTATATGTTAATAAATAAGGTTGCCTGGAGATCAGAGGTCACATAACGAGTCATAAACAGAAGTCAGGCGGTGGTAGCACATACCCTTAATCTGATCACATGGCAGGCAGAGTCTCTGTGTGGTCAAGGACACAGCCAAGCGTGGTAACACACACCTTTATTCCCAGTACCAACCATAGGGACCTGGAGGTCTATATAGACAGGCAGTGACGAGGAAGTGATGTGGCTGGGCTTAGAGCCAATGAGAAGTCAGAACAGGAAGGCAATAAAAGCACAGGTTAGACAGGAAGAAGCTGTCTCTGGGGAAGCTACGACGTGGTGGTAAGCTAAGGCTAGTTGTGGCTATTCTCTGATCTCTTTGGCTATTTGTTATTTCTCTGATCTCTTCGGCTATTACCCCTGTATTTGGCTCTGTGTTTCTTATTTAATAAGACTGTTTAGAAATTCATCTACAATAGCGTCCTCTGATGCACAGAAGCTTTTAAGCTTCATGAGCTCTATTTACTAATGATTGGTCTTAATGCCTACGTTAGCAGTGCTCTGTTCAGAAAGGCCATTCTTGTGCTAATGAGTTCAAACCTTTTCCCTCTCAGATTCAGGTTATCTGGCTTTATGTTGAGGTTTTTGATTCATTTGGAGTATTTTGGTTTTTTTGGTTCTTGGTTTTTTTTTTTCAGAGTGATAGACGTGAATCCATTTTCACTCCTCTATATGCAGCCATCTAATTTGATAAGCACCATTTCTTGAAGATGCTGGTTTTTTTTCTCCAGTGTGTATTTTTGGCTTATTTGTCAAAATTCAGGTGTCTGTGGAAGTGTGGAGCTATGTCCAGATCTTCAATTCTATTCCATTAATTAATATGTCTGCTTTTATACCAATACCCTGTGTTTTTATAACTATAGCCCTGGAATACACTTTGAAATCTGGGATGGCAATACCTACAGCAGTCCGTTAATTCAGCCTAGTTTGAGCTGTCTTGTTTGCTGGTTTTTGTTTGTTTGTTTGCTTGTTTTTGTGTGTGTGCTTCCATACAATGGTGAAGATTATTTTTCCAATTTCCATGAAGATTTTTATTGAAATTTGTATTGGGATTGCAGTGAATTGCTAGATTTACTTTGGTAGGATGACTATTTTCGCTACATTAATCCTACTGAACCATGTAGGCCCTATGCTTGCTGCTTTAGTCTCTGTGAGTTCATATGCACCCTGCTTAGTTGATTCCAAGGGTCTTATTCTCCTGGTTGTCTTCATTCACTCTGACTCTTACAGTCTTTCAGCCTCCTTTTCCATGGGATTCCCTGAGCTCTAAGAGGAGGGATCTTATGGAGACCTTCAATTTAGACTCTCTCTCTCTCTCTCTCTCTCTCTCTCTCTCTCTCTCTCTCTCTCTCTCTCTCTCTCGTGTGTGTGTGTGTGTGTGTGTGTGTGTGTGTGTGCACAAGTGTGTGTCAGGCTGTGGGTCTCTGCATCTGTTCCCATATGCTACCAGAGGAAGCCTCTCTGGTGATGACTGCATAAAGCACTGATCTATGAGTACACACTTACTCTTATATGCATAGATAAGTACAGTTCTCACATGTCATCAAAGATTTTGTTTTTCAGCAACAAGGGCTACTATAGAAATCAACAACTGCTTAAAGGGGAAATAATAAGTGACTTTGGGCCGCTCAGCCTCAATTGGGATATCTACAATATAAGCCCTATGTCTGAGGATCAGAGAACATTACAGAAGAATGGGTAAATAATATTGCAAAAACTAGAGAATTGAGATCCTTGTTGCAAGATAGTGTATTCTAGACATGACACTCAACCTATGAACTGTAAACCACATGGTTGCTCACATAAGGCCTGCATGATACCACACTATTTCACAGACAAACATGGATGGAGGAAAATTTATCAATTCCAGGTCTCTGATAAGGAGCTACAGGCAGTCAGTGGCTACTGCGTGAGTGAGAATTAGTTTTCTCCAGGGATGAGCTCATTGATAATTTTCCTCTTCCTACAGGATCAGATTTAAACAAGTGTATGTGGACAACACTAATTGGCCTCAAGAAGTTGAATAGACATCTGTATGTGTCTGTGTGTGTTTGTGTATGTACACCAATAATAATAATAGAAAAGATCTTGAGTTTGAGAAGGTATTGTAGTGGAGACAAGGGAGGAGTTGAAGGAAGTGAAGGTGTGGAAACTATGTACATGTAGTACAGTTGCATATGAAATTCTCAAAATTTAAAATTAAAAAACAATTTAAATACTTAATTTCTTTGTACTTAATATTCTTTATTTTGTCTGTCTTTCCTTAAAAATTGTCTTATGATTGTTTTACTGTGAGTAACTTTGTACATAATAGTTGTGTGCTGTTTCTTGAAGACACAAACAAGTAGGGTATGTATGACAAGCCAAGGAAATATTTCCATCCAGGTTCAGTTTGGAGAACCTCAGTGTTTACCATCATTGTATACAGGAGCATGAATGAACACCAATGAATGTTTCAATACTATGGCACTCTACACAATTTTCAGGTAGCTCTAAAATAAAATCTACTCTAAGACAACAAGTTTTTACTGCTTATATATAGCTCTGAGTGTGGACTCCTGAGTCTTGTAACTTCTGAGCTTGCAGAACTTTATGAGCCCTCTCATCTCCCAGGAGGGAATACTGAAATTCAGAAGTAACTACAAAAGTAATGAAAATGTAGAAGATATAGAACTCTAGGTTATATTTTTCATCATATTTTAGGATTTACTTTGATATCTTCAACTAAAGTCTGTACTTACACCACTTGCAAAACAACACGCAACATGAATGATAAACTTAGAAGGAAACTATTTACTAGTGGAGGCATGGAAAATCCAGGGAACTTAGCCTAATGAAATAATAGTAAGTGAAAGCAATTACAGCATCATTTCTTTCAGTGCTGCTCTTAATTCTGAAACATGGGAATGAATTTAAATGTCCAACAATATGTCAGCTTTTATGTTATTCATAAGATTGAATAAGATGAAAGCATTTATCATAATAATAAAGACATGCCAACATTGCAAGCATTTAACATAGATCAATATCTTCATAAAGATACAAAATAGATGAGATAAATTGTTTAACAAAAATGTTATAAAATCTGAAAATATATTCATATATATATTGTGTATATGTATATATATAAATTATGTAGATGTTTATACTGGATTTAATGCAAAACATGTTTGAATAAAATTGTATTTGCAAATTTTGGTGTTCTAAATGTTAAATGACCAGAATTTTCCCTTGTGATTAAAAAATTGTGGGAAGTACAGCGATATGCAATGATAGCACATGCTCATGGAGTCTAGGAAACAATTCTGTGGGGCTGCAGACACAGAAAAGAGGCATAGAAATATAGATGCACTCTATGGGTATCAGTGCAAAGTAATGCATCAGAAGGACACACATAAGTGTTGTTCTTTTCATGGTGAATACCTATATTCATTTATTCTAAAAATGCTGATACTAAGAGAATGTTAAATATTCCCTAGTTTATCTTCTCATAGATAGAAATGTGGGGCTCATTTCATTGAAACACTCAAGGCCTAACAATAGGTACCTATTGGATGGTCCTCAAAGCTGTATGCTTTTACCTTCACATTATTTTGTTAGCAAATAACTTTTACTATACGTTCAGTTTTCCAACAGCTATGCTTTTCAAGGATTCAGATGACCATATACTCCCTTTAATATCTTAGAAATTTTCAGCCTTCTTCTTCCAAGTAACCAAACTAACCTGACCAAGTAACCTAGTCCCAATCTTCTTTTTGTTCAATTATTTATGGATAACAACAAAGATTACTTGATTATATATTCCAAAAGTGCATATGCATTCCCTTTTAAACTATTTCTTAGGACAAGTGCTTAAAAATATTTTTACTAGTAATTCTATGCTGTTTCATGAATACCTCGGCATATTTCTGACACTGAAATCTGCATGACCCTGAGAACTAAAATATCACACTAAGGAGCAACTCCCTCAGTCTGAGTTAAGGTATAAGTTTAAAGCTTGTACATTAGCATTAGTTTTCTGATAGTTTGGGGGCAGTGAAAGTAATATGAAAAGGCAGAAAAAAGAAATATTCAAACAGGCTGTCAGAGATCTGTTGTCTTTATCTTCTCACATGTGTCCCTTAATCTCAGTCTGTCCAATGACATTGGCACTGCAAATACAAACAAGTTTTCCACACTCTGAGTCCCTTGATCTCCTTTCCCAATTGTCAAGAGACTTTGTTCTTGGTGCTTAGGGAACAAAGGAGTATTTCTTCAATCTAAGTTTAAGGATTGGTTTTTCAGTGGGAAACTGAAAACATGATACATTTAGTTCAGTTGAAAGACCACTCTTGCTATAGCTAATCAAGTCACTATATTCCAGACAAAAATTATTGCAAGACCACATTTCAAAGTCTATGTTATTGTAATATATGTGTAGTGTGTGAATTTCCTTCAATGGGCTGACATGAGGACTTTAAATTATACAGCCTGAACAGGATTTCCAGATGGCTCTTTATTTCCTGCTGGCTCTATTTCACCTGATTTCTTTCATGTTCCCTCAGGTTCCACTTTCTCACTAACATTATTTGCCTTTACTCTTCTCTCTCTTCCTTTTATACACCATCTTGTCTTTGACTCACCAGACAGATGGTTATGTCCATTTTGCTTTGACTACT